ACACAATTTTAAAATACATTCAAATGATTTTTGAGTAAAGAAACAAATTTGAAAAAAAGCATGGCCATAAAGCAAAATGCTTCATGGGTTTATCAGGTTCATTGCAGTCGTGACACACCAACATATCTGGCCCAGTTATGAGTTATTAACTTGGCTGACACTTGGCCCAGATATGGCCCATGTTTGGCCCTTGTATGGAAGCCAGACTTGGTCCACTCATGTAATTCACTGCGGCATGTGGGCCAAGCAAAAGCTGACTGTTGTGTGACTGATCTAGGCCAGAGAAATTTTGCTATGTGGGTTTTTACAAGCTTTTTGCACTATATACTGTTCTGCATCTGCACAACCCTGGTTTGCACTCCTTGCCATGTGCCGTTAAGTGTAACTGTATTGTCTACAATTTGTTTTTACTTATATTTTTAGATTATATTATATATGTAATTGTATTTATTGTAATTTCCTTTTAAATTTCTACTTTTTGTTTTAATATTATATGTTAGGCACCAAGGGTCTTTATGTCTTGTACATGTTGTTGAATTGACAATAAAGCTGACTTTGACTTGACTTGAATTCATACCACATTACACCGCAGTGGTGGAGCCTTATTGTGCGTTTTTAAGACCAAATTTACTACATTAATTTGGTCATCTGCGGCTCAGGAGGTTAGAGACTACCCATGTAATGTGGTTTATATATAAAGAGTAACTTTCAGTGAATATTAAACAGTAAGACCTTCAGAGAGGAAGACAAGCCACACAAAGATAAAGGAAAGACAGACTCAGTGAAGGTGGTTGTGAATGTGTCTAGATGTGTGTTTGTTAAAGGATCTGAGAAACACATTGTTCCTCTGTCACAGTCCAGACCAACTCTCACACAATTAACATCCTTTTCATTAGAAAACCCAAATCAAACACTCCAGACGTTAGTGCTGAAGAAAACATGTCTCATTTACTACTGTTGTTCATTCATTCATCTTCTTTTCAGTTTTGTCTCTTTATTAACTGGGGTTGCCGCAGTGGCATAAACTGTGAACTTATTCAGAATATGTTTTACACAGCGGATGCCCTTCACTGGGAAACCCCCATACACTCACATTCACACTCAGGCCCCGTTTACACTAATGTGTTTTAGTTTGAAAACGCATAAGTTTTGCTACGGTTACGCCATCCGTCCACACTACGCCGGAGTTCTCGAGCGCCGAAAACGGAGCGTTTCGAAAACGCTGGAGAGGCCGTTTTCATTCTAAAACGCTGCTGCTCCGTCTCAGTGTGGATGGGGAAAGACGGAGACATCTGAAAACGGAGGCGGGGCTGCAGACATTCGCCTCTTTGATTGGGGCTTTTCCTCAATATTAAGTAGCCTACACACAGTTCAGTCCTGAATCTTCTCCGTGTAAGTTCAGACTTCGCAAGTTTGATCAAGGCTGCAGTCTCTTCTTCTCAGTTTGATATGGAAAACATACCGAGGACACGCGTCAATCTTCACAGGGAACAGTGTAACGTAACGTTACTTTATAACTTCATTCACATCACCTTGGCTACGTTGTTTCACTTTCTCAACAATAAAATGTAAACTTGATATAAGGAACTGCCTATTTTTATTTTAATATTAACAACTAAACAGACAGCAGAAATGTTGAGGCGTCGTGCTGCATGAGCGTCATCTTCACTGTGCATATTTATAACAAAACGGAGCCGATAACAACTGCCTCCTTTCAATTTCAGGGAAAATACGAAACATACCCTCTCTTTTGCTGAATATCAGTTTTAATAATCGATAATGGCCATTATAAAAGTATAACATACAATAAGTTTATACATTATAGGAAATAAAGGCAAGCGATCAGTCAATATACAGAATGTAGGCTACGTGCTTACATTAACTTATCTTTGCGCTCAGCCAAAACACGTTACCTGAGAACAAGTAATAGATTCCAATGACCAAAGTCAGGGAATATGTCGTTAGATAAAGACAATAAGATGAATGAAATATCACGTTTAATAAATATAGTGAGATTAGATCCAGCGGGAGATGCTTGATGAGAAGTCCGACTAGCAGAGCTCTCATCTGGGTAGATGGGCTCCAGCGATTGCTAAAGTGTGTGTGTTTGGTCACGTGATGTGCGTTTTCAGCGTTTTGGTGTGGACGGAGAGCAGTTCAGAAACGCTGGGTAAAACGCGAGTGTGGACGCGGATCGTTTTCATTCTAAAACGCCGTTTTAAAACTAAAACGCACTAGTGTAAACGGGGCCTCACACACTATGGACAATTAAGCTTTTGCAATTCACATGTACAGCATGTCTTTGGTCTTGTAGGGGAAACCGGAGCATTTGGAGGAAACCCACACCAACACGTGCAGAACATGCAAACTCCACACAGAAATACCAACCAAAGAAAAAACCTTCTTTCACCTCCACATCCCAGCAGTGTAAGTTCTGCACAACATTTTGATTGTATACTATGATTATGTCACAATTATCAGCTGGGGTGCTCACGCCTGTCACTAGAGGACTACACCACCCACAATCCTTTACACCTCACAGCTGGCATTCCACCTGGAACGGATCAAAAAAAGACACCTGCATATTATTTATTTATCAGTTTTATTTAAACCTTATGATCACTACTGGGGTGGGACAGTTCACAAAATTGTCAGTTCGGTTTATATAATTTCAATCGGTTTATATTATTTCATTTCAATTAAAGCTACAGTTTGTTTAAAGGGCTGGTCCACTATGATACCATATTTTAAACTTTAGTTGATGTGTAATGTAGCTGTGTGAACAAACAACATCTCTAAATGTAAAAAGTTCTAAGTTCAATGCAAAGGGAGACCTTGGTTTTTACAGAGTTAGCTTTGCAAAGCCTACAATGAACGAATTTTGGGGACCACAAAAAAATACTTCCGCCCCCTGTGAGATCACAAGTTTGTTTACTGCGCATCCCACACTGCGCATGCAGGTAAGGGCCGTGGCCAGAAGCACTGTAACGTTATAGCAGAGATGAAGCTAAAAATGCGTCTAAACACGGCTGTTTCCACAGAGCTTCGTCTGTTTTCTGTATTTGGGCTTCCAAAGGACACGACACAAAGACAGAAGTGCCTTCAGTTCAATATTAATTATGTTCCAGAGAATTATAAAACACATAGCAAGCATGATTTGACAAAACAGCTCCAGAATCTCTCCCAGTTCAGTGCTGGATTCGGCTAAAATCTCCTCAAAGCAGAAGTTGTAAGCTACAAGTAAGTGTTTTTATTAGTTAAAATTGATCTTGACATGTACAGTGTCTAGCGTTAACGGTATGCTGTAGCAATGATGTAAACAATGCGAAATGCTGCTTTACGGGCAAACGATTTAGCTACAAATTCATATCTATCAGCCAAACTGCTGTAACACACACGTGTTTCACATCTCAGATAATGAAGTCGCAAAAGATATGTGGATGATTCATATTACTTACACCTGCATATTCTGGATACTCGTGAAAGACGTCATAACGCATAGAGTTATAAAAAAATACAGATTAGCTTACCTGACTCGTGGTCGCAGCAGAATAATAAATCAAGGCTCAACAGGTAGCATCTCACATCTTGTGCTTTATTCTTCTGTCACGATATATAACAGAAAATAACTTAATCCGAGCATCAGAGAAAAAGAAAGTCCCGCGCACATGCGCTTGCTAAAGAGTGTTCACACATTCACACACACATAGACGCACACACAGACACTGTTAAAGGAGCCGCACCCCATTTTCACTCCTTAGTTACAGACACTTGTCAGATTTTATTTTAGAGAGCGGCCGCGAGGTTGACTGCATGTTTACACCATAGACTGTAAAATATATGGACGTAGTGTCCGTGACGTCACCCATAGGTTTCTGAAGAGCGCAAAAGAAGCCACAAGTAGGCGCGGCCAACCGTCGCCATTTTGGTCACGCGTCATCACACCCACGGGGGGATACCAAACAAGGGCAAAGAGGCGGAGAGTGAGCGGAGCTACAGACACCTGCTGGCATTTAGCTTGGACCTGGCTCAGACACACTTTACTTTGGGAGAACGCTTAATACTTTATCACCTGCGACTCGTTTGTATTCTGACCACTTGTGCTTGGTTGTATACTATATCAATAAAGTGTTTAGACTTTTAAAAACACTGCTGTAATACATTGAGCCACTAAACATTGTTCTTATGACGTTTTTCAACAGGAGGAAAACGCGAATTACTTCCAAACACTTCAGATATAGTCTGTGTTAGTTAATGTAAGACTATTGATGAAATCCAGCATAACACTGTATGACAACGCTTCAGATGACTGATCTAGAGCCTACAGCTAATCAATCTGACAGATTCTGGAGTGCATTACAGCTCTAAATATAAATATAAACGATGAATGATCTTAAATAAAACAAACACATGTATAGAGATGGTATATAAGTATATAACTTTACTCACATGGGAAACGGAGGCCACGTGAATGGTTTGTGAGCACAATTAAGTGCCCTCAGCATGCCATGCCATCAAATAATTGTGGGAAACAAGTCCAAAAGGCAGTTGACTGTGTAAAGCCACATAAAACAACAGAGAAATACGATAAATATGCCGAGTTCAGTGGCTAATCTGCAGAGGTGACGTGACGGCGACCAGCGAGACCTAACTGTCACTCAAGTGGCCACTCCCTCAATTATGCAAACTTAATATAACTTAATATAAAGGAAACGGATGAGTTATAAAAAAATTCACCCCCCTCACAGTTGTCATGAAGGGTAATATTAGCTGTATTAACCAAAATCTTTTTTTGTACCAGGCTGTAAACACCTTTTTTTCTGCTGTAAAGTTGGCCATTCTAACAGTGGGCTCAACTGAAATTTGCTCTGTTTTGGAGCCAGGAGCGGCCAGGACTAGCGGAATTTCGGATGAATTGCAGTTTTAGTTACTTCCGTATTGGCTTCCTGAGGGAGAGCGGGAGGTTGCCGCTTGGTTTACACAGCAGAAAAGCGAGTGCTTTTACGGGCGTGATGTGGAGCCGATCCGCCAATAGCAGCACATTATGACGATGACCAATCAGAGTCACTTGAGGGTGGGTCTTTTAGGGGAACTAGGAAACATGACAGTCGTTTTCATGTTAGCTGAGTAGCTGTGTATAATCAAAGTGACATATATGAAAAAATAACACTATTTCCTTCAAGTGAACCATAAGCACACACTTTGCATCTTATAAACACAACCAAGCCTTAAAATTACATTCTGGACCACCCCTTTAAGGTTGTTGTGAGATATAATGTCAGAACGCAGGTTAGTGGAAGTGTCAAAGATGGATTATGTCAGTCTCTGCATGAGTTTTCTTGCATGTGTGTGTTTGTGTGCATGTGTGTGTTTGTTGTTGTTCAGTCTGACATTATGACATTATGAGATATTACAGTGTGACACAAGAGTCACGTTTATGAAGGATTGACAGGATTCTATAGGATTATTAAACATTGCACAGTGTGAGCCGGGTTTAATGTGGATTAAATATTGAAAACATGAAGAAAGAAGATCCAGACCTACAGGTGTAACTTTTACTGACTACTGAACGGTAAGATCCTCAGAGAGGCTGAACCATTAAAGAAAGGAAAGACAGATTCAGTGAAGGTGGTTGTGAATGTGTGTAGATGTGTGTTTGTTACAGGATCAGAGAAAGACACTATTCCTCTGTCACAGTCTAGATCAACTCTCACACGCTCAAGATCCTGATTAACAGTAACGCCAGAGCCTACAGTAGTACCACACTGCACACTCCAGACACCAGTGTTAAAGAAATCACTTCTTTTCCTGTCCTTTGATGCTGTAGTTACTCCAAGACTCCACCAGTAACAATACTTTTTAACCTCCACATCCCAGCAGTGTTTCCCTGAGGTAAAACCCTCTGAAGCCAGAACACACCAATAATAGTTAAATCTTTCTGGATTATCAGGAACAGGTTGATTTTTGTTGTTGAACCTCACACTGGTCAGATCATCAGACAGGACGAGACGTGGATTTGCAGTGTTTGGATCCAGAATGACAGGAGCTGAAGAGACACAATCAACAGCTGCTTTTATTCTGATGTTCATATCATGACCAAGAGTGAACAAACACAGATTATTATGAATTATGACACTCGAACTGTTGATCAAACACATCAGACATGTTCCTCTAATAGCTGCCAGTGTTATTAATTACTAACTAATTTTCATAAGCAGAGTTTAATGACATCAGATACAAACACTATAAGTGTGATTTAAACATCTATGTCCAACAAGATCAATCAATCAATCAATCAATCAATCAATCAATTACTGAATTTGATTAATTTTTGATCAATTAATTGTATCAAGCTCAATTATACTTGGTCTTACTGTCTGAATGTATTTTTAAATCCTTTATTACTGTCTGTTATTTTTTTAATACGGTAATTAATAATCTGTTATTGAATAAACGGAATGTTCCTCTATGTGGCTCTTTTTATAGATGGTTTTTTTTTAAAAACAACTGCTGAAAATCCTCATGAGAAAAAGATCACAGAATAAATGCCAATATATGGTGGCAGGTTTAATACAACTAGGGTTGGGCATCGTTTTGTTTTTACGATACCGGTGCTAAATTGATACTTTTAAACCAGAACCAGTGCCAAAATGGTGCCTGAACCGAACCACAAAATTATTTGACTAAATATATATTTTAATATTAAAATTGAACAATATAAATATATATTTATAATAGGTTTAAAGTAAATATTTTATTATTTTATTAATTTGAATTGCATTAATATATTTCTTTTGATCATTTGTTTGTTAGCATAAATGCATGATTTATATTATGCTATTAACATTACATTAGCTTACTACTAACCTGTGGAAAGGCTGTCATAAAAATCAGGAAACACCTTTTTTCTGGGTTTGGGGCTTGTGACTACTTTTACATGAACATCAGTGATCTAATGATTTGCCTTAATCTGTATAAGAGAATAATATGATTCAGGTGTTTACATGAGCTGCTTTATGAATGTTACATTCATGATCCCCAGTTACTTGTTATAGCACATAGATCCATCAACGTCATTACCAGGGGCGTTGCTAGGGTCGAAAGGTATAAGGGGCTTAGCCCCAAAGAAATTGCCCCAACCCCCACCACCCAAAAAAAATATATAAAAAAAGAAGTTTTAATTTACCCAACTAATATACCTACTCTAATCTTATTAACAGGATTAAAAATGGTTAATAATAAATAAAGGGTTTTTAAGACTTGTAAAATCCAAATAGGAAAAAAAAAACATTCCCACATTAACCCACTTCTCATTTACTAGTCTCTTATGAGCCATATCAAACCTCTTGAGCCTACTATCTCCTCCTGATTTGAACTTTCTGTTTGTTTTTTGAAAATGTAATTTTCTGCATGTCTTCAAATCTGAAAATATGATTTATTTTATATTGTGAATTGTTATCCAATGTGATACAAAGCTACAAACATGTTCATTTGGACAGAGTGATTAACTGAGGTGTAGTGTTGTCAAGATACTGGAATTTCTAAATTCAATACCTTGCAAAATATGGATATTCAATAGGCTACTATTTTTTATTTAATAACAATTCTATCAAAAGTAGTAGGCTACAAAAAATAAAAATAAAGATCTAGATGCTAGAAATATGTTTACTTTTAATTTCTATAGGGAATTTTTTTTTCAGTTTTCCTCAAAATAGGGTGATGTGGGCATTGTAGCATTTTAAATGCATGTAATGCCTGTTTTATTGATACTTGAGCAGAAATTCCATATATGCCTCACAAAAGTAGAACATTTTAGGATATGGATGCCTAATATGGATGAAGGCATCCAGCTGTTGCTGTAGTAGAATGAAAATAAGATCTGAATAAAAATAAAAAGGCTTTAACTGATCATTTACACAACTGCGACAATAAATGTTTTATACAGTTGAATTATCAGCCCTCCTTTGAATTTCATTTTTTTTTAAAAATATTTCCCAAATGATGTTTAACAGAACAAGGAAATTTTCACAGTAGCCTATGTCTGATAATATTTTCCTTTTGAAGAAAGTCTTATTTGATTTATTTCAGCTAGAATAAAAGCAGTTTTACATTTAAAAAAAAAAATTTTAGGGTAAAAATTATCAGCCCCTTTAAGCTATATTTTTTTCGATGGTCTACAGAACAAACCATTGTTATACAATAACTTGCCTAATTACCCTAACCTGCCTTTAAAACCTTTAAATGTCACCTTAAGCTGTATAGAAGTGTCTTAAAAAATGTCTAGTCAAATATTATTTACTGTCATCATGGCAAAGATAAAATAAATCAGTTATTAGAGTTGAGTTATTAAAACTATTATGATTAGAAATGTGCTGAAAACAAATTTCTCTCCGTTAAACAGAATTTGGGAAAAAAAATAAACGGGGGCTAATAATTCAGACTTCAACTGTATGTGTTCTTCCAACCATTTTATGTATTTTCATAAGAATGTTGATTTATAATTTGATGCAAATTGACATAGCATGTTACAGTATGCATGAACTCACAGATGCATAAACTCACTGTGATTTAACTATTACAGAAACAGATGTGACTTGCTATATCATATAAATATATCATATCTAGAAAGCTAGTACAATTTACGTTTTTTTTGTACTTACTCGTATGTATTTACATTGATATGATGCCCATTTTACTGATTATAGTTATTTTAAATCACCAAAACTACACACATTTTATACTGGGGAAACAAGTTTCATCAGTAGTTAAAACTATTCAGTTTCGCGAAAGAGTTGTATTATTACCTCATTAGCTTCAGCTCCTCAAAATAATGAATGAATGAAGATTTTTTTTTAACACCATGTGACAACAGAGCCCCTCCCACCTGCCGGTAAAAACAGGTACTGCTAAACAGCTGACGATTTAATTACCTGACACAAACGCTGCGTTAAGTGGAATGTTCGTGATGTATGTGGTCATTTTCAGTACTTAGATAACAAAATAAATGTTATACAACATATTTTTATTCAAGTGCAACATATTCCAAGAGATCAGGGGCTTTTGACAATACATCAGGGACTTAAGCCCCCAAAGCCCCCCCCTCGCAACGCCACTGGTCATTACGTCACCAACCTATAAATGTTTCCTCCGCTGTTTGTGTCTGTGGTCCTTTAAGATAATCAAAAATTACTGTTTACGTGGTCAACTCTTGATCAGAGTATTGTCTTAATCATATTAAATCAGAGCATTGGTGTCCATGTAAACATGCTCACTGAAAGTGTCAGATGATGTCACAAGCTGTCAGAGATGGTCCATTCCTCACCTTTAAGTTGATTCCATGAGCACTCACATTTGAGAAGTTTGACTTCAACTTTTGCATCTGCTGCATGCTGGCGTGTCAGAATCTTTGCTTGTAAAATATAGCCATTCTGTAGAATGCTTAGTTTAAGCAAATTAGATGAACGCGATCATGCGTGTTGATGAAAGGAGTCGCTCACCGCATGTGCCGTACTGCGCGATTTGCCTTCTACAAGCAACAAGAACAAACATCTGACATAGCGGACATACGTATGCTTCAAAGCTGTTTAGAATCAAACATTTAGAGATGGTGTGACACAACGCGTAATTATGTGTGCCTTTGATGCACCCCTCGATGCTTCTTAAGGGCGTCACACATCGGATGCGTCGCTCAGAGCCGCAGCACGGCGAGCACATGACAGTTGAAAGTATCGCACACCAGACGTGCACATTGGCATGTTATTTAAAATGAAACTATTTAGATGGCGCTCTGTCGCGTGGCAGAAATGTGAACAGTCATGAGTTGCTGGATGCCGTGGACAGCCGCTAACTTGCGAATTCTAAAATTCACGACGCTGCGTGGCGCGACACCGAGCGGAGCTTCTGGTGTGAGACCTGCTTTGCGTTCTTGCTGCAGCACCAGTGGCACCGAAATTCATATGCTGATTCGGTGAATTTGATGCATACCGGTTCCAAAGGTACCAGTGCTATAATCGCACCATGTTTTGGTAGACAACTCTAATTACAACACACTTGTATGGTTAAGATGAATAATTATTGTATTTTAACACTGTATATTTTAATATAACAACATCATTTTCAAATATATTAAAAATATTAGTAAAAATATATTTCAGAAAAAAGAAAATTCCTTTAGCTGCAATATAAATATATATATATATATATATATATATATATATATATATATATATATATATATATATATATATATATATATATACATTTTAAGAATCACACTGAGCAGCTCTCTGAGGACATATAAAAGTAATAATTTTCTTAATGAACTCCAGAGACTGTCAACATGTCATCAATAACACCTTCATAATAATCAGTCTTTGAGGAATCTAAATTTATATTAAGATTGCAGTATAACAATCTAATATTTGAGGCTCAATGTTTCAGTCAGAAGAATCAAATAGGAGCCTCAAGTATCTTTTCACTTTTACACTGTTAATTCTGTTCTGGAGTTCAGCAGATGAAGAAATGAGAAACATTCTCCAAATATAGACGCATGATATTATACATGACAGCATTATTATTATGATGCTGCTGTGAGCCGGCCCTGGATAAACAGTTGAAACATTGTATGATTGTATTTTACAACAAACTAAAACAGTATTTCACTACAAACTAGAATAAGGACTCCAGTAAAACACTGACTGTGTGTGAGTAGAGATGTTGTAGGGACTCTTACTGTAGTGGACGATGTCCTGCATCTTCTTCCAGACTCTGAACGGCAGGTTCCCCAAGTAGCGACACACATGAATCAAAGCTCCAGAAGGCGTCTGTGGATCCGGCTGTGAGATCTGGACTCTGGAAGAACATTCAGGAGTCAGAACTGCAGGATTCAGAAGCAGAGAGAGCAGAGACACCAGCAGATCACTCACCTTTCCATCGAGACTGGAAACTCCTGCAGAACAAACACACAACTGATCATCAAGAGCTCAATCCATCATCAATCAATCAATCACTGATCTGAAATCAGACCTTTAGAAAGCAGACGTCATTGGCTTTCAGCATCTCCTCCGTGTCTTTGATCGTGTGTGAAAGAGCTGAGATGTGTGTGTTCATCTCCTCCAGCTTCTCCTTCATCATCTGCTTCTTCTGCTCCTCTTCCTCCCTCAGTGCAGTGATTGCAGCTTCTTCTTCATCTCGGAGAAACTGATGAAGCTTCTCAAACTCATGTTTAATCTGACGCTCTGTGTGATCAGCTTGAAACTGAAAGTAAATCACAGACACATTTAATAATCTGAGTCAAAACACAACAACATCACTTCTTAAATATCCACAATAAACTCAGATATATAAAAGACCCAGAAGCCAAATGATGTTTATCATTAGCAAAGTCATTACCAGAATTGAATTAAACTAATTATAAGAAATCATATTTGTGTCTCCTGCTGCTGAATGAAAGTGACTCTTGATTCTGTTTCTTACCTTGATGTGTTGAACTGTTTTCTCAAACTCTGCTTTCTTTTCTTCATTGTGTTTCAGTTTCTCCTGTAAATATTTCAGTGCTGTATTGAGCTCCTCCTGAAATTGAACAATTAAATAAAAATATATAAAAACACAAAAATCACTGTGAAGAGAAACAATTACTGTGACATGATGTGATTTATTCGAGCATCACTTAATTAAACAATACAATTATTCAATTCTTTCTAGGCATGTCATTTCAAATTCTCCAAATCTGCATCTGTAATGTTGTACAATAGTGAGAATTGTATTTTAAAATATAATGCAAACAAAACACCTCATATTATATGAATTTGGGCATAGGTTTTGCTTGTTTGTAACACATTACTGTCATGAGCCAGGTCTGATCTCGTTAATTCTATCACTCTGTATTGCCCTTTTCGCCTTGCAGCTGCAGGCTCTCCCCATTAACTATCATACCTGCCACCATTTGTTGCCTATTAGCGTCCCGATTTAATCCTCTGTGTTCCCTGTTTCTGTGTCAGATTATTATACCTCATTTGTGTTTCGTCTTGCTGTTTGTGGCTCACCACACATTAGTTCTGTCCAATAAGTTCTGTCCTATGCACTTTCATTGTGTTTGCTCTTACCTCCACTCTGCTCTACCAGCCTTCAAGTGCCTGTCTGCATCTGGTCCCCAGCCGGGGTTTGTCAGCTAACGCCAGTTCCCCTTCGGATGGGGAACTTCAATGCTATCAGTGAATTTACATAATTCACGAATGGGGGGATTTTGTTTCAGAAAGCCAATCGTCTGAAAGAGTATACAACGGGCCAATGAAATGCCAAATGAATTGGCAGCGTAAGCTTGCGCACGTGTGCCTTATTGCCAATTATATCTGCATATACGCACAGGTGAAGCAAGGACACGCCATCCTTTTCGCTTCAGAGACTTCACAAGCCTTCTGAGAGAGTCGATGAAGGTTCCTCCTGCTGTGATCCAGCGATTTCGAGCAAACGAGAGCATTCTCCCGGTCCAGAGTGTGTACACGCAGTGGCAGACGGTCGAGCTGGGTTTCTCCCTTGCCTGGCGTTCTTTAGGTCCGGTCCTCCAGAGCGGTGCGTATAAAGTTGCAACTTCACAAAAAGAGCAACACAGTCGTGCAGCACGTCCTTTTCAGGATGGCGCTCCGACCGTGCGTTTCTGGATGCGGTGGTTTACTGTCCCCGGATGATGGGCACGGTGTCTGGGGGTCCATGTCTGGGGGTCCAACATGTTAATGCACTGCTCGTGGGCAGTTCATGTCATCATTGCGATGCCATGACTGTTGCACAGTTAAGATCGCGGCTAGTCTTGCAAAAGGGCAAACTACCCCAGTTATCCCCTGCTCTGCAGCGGGCACTAGGGCAGATCTGAGGGTTCAGCGAGAGATAATCCGTCGCCCACGGGCCCGCGGACCTCCCGCTCCTCCAAGCGCTCCATCCAAGCTTCGGGCGGGGGAAGCGATCCCTCTAAACAGATGGTAGCCCTTACGTTCGATGACACCGGGGACCAGATGTCCACTGCTGCATCGGAGGGTAGGCTTTCATTGTCCGATGATGATCCAGACCCGCTTGCCCCCTCCGGGCAGGTGAGCGCAAGACGGATCCTAAAACGGACATGTTAGCCGTGCTTTCCCGGGCTGCTTCGGCTGTGGGTTGGAGATGGTTTATCCCCCAGCTCCGCGGCCGGACCGACTAGATGGGTGCTACGTAGAGGACCAGAGGGCGAAGCCTTCGAAGCCTCTTGTCCCCTTCTTCCCGGAGGAGCACAATAGGCTCACACAGTCTTGGAGGGCACTTTTTTCTGCCCGTGCTGCATGTCCCTCCGCCCTCACCACTCTTGATGGTGGAGCGGCCAGGGGGTATGTGGCGATTCCTCCGGTTGAGCGAGTGATTGCCTCTTCTTGGCGGGGTCCGCCTCATCTCCCGTCCAAAGCCTGTAAGTTATCTGCCTCTCTCGGAGCTTAGAGCTTACATGGCTGCGGGCCAGGCTGCTTCCGCCTTGCAAGCAATGGCCACCTACCAGCGCTACAAGCACAGGCGCTGGCCGAACTGCACGAGGGTGGGTCCAACCCAGGCTTGTGAGCTTCGCAATGCATCCGACTATGCTCTTCGTACCACTAAGTCCGCTGTGTGTGCTTTGGGGAGGACGATGTCCACATTAGTGGTCCAGGAGCGCCACCTCTGGCTAGACTTGGCTGATATGCGAAGTCGACAAAGTTCGCTTTCTTGACTCCCCCATATTCCAAGCTGGCCTGTTCGGCGACACCGTCTGTGAATTCACCCACTGTGAATTCAGGAATTCAAGGCGGTGAGAGAGCAGTCAGAGGCAATGGGTAATGTCACCTTCGGCGGGACCTTTGTCCTTTTTCCCACCCCTCCAGCCAGGGTGCGGAGTGAGAGCAAATCTCTTGCCTCCAGCTCTTCCACGGGACCCTCGCGCTTCCCGGATCAGCACACCCACTCCGCGCTGCCCCACTGCTGGTACGTCAGCGATTGTAGCGATGAGTCAATTAGCGAGAGCTCTGCCTGCCTGGTTACCGCGGCCAGCCTTCGCGGTGGCTCATACACACAATCAGACTCGGCTATGCGATTCAGTTCGCGAAATGGCCCCCCAAGTTCACGGGTATGTATTCACCAGAGTCAGCCCCCTGTCCGCCCCTGTCTTGCGAGAGGAGATTGCTGTCTCCTCTCAATCAATCAAGCCGGTCTCTCCAGCCGAGATGGAGAGCGGGTTTTACAGCCCGCACTTCATCGTGCCCAAAAAGAGCGGTGGGTCACAGCCAATCCTAGATCTGCGCATTTTGAACCGCTGTCTGCACAAGCTACTATTCAGAATGCTCACGCAGAAGCGCATCCTCCGGTGCGTTCATCCTCTGGATTGGTTTGCAGCAATAGACCTGAAGGACACGTATTCCCATGTCTCCATGCTTCCTCGCCACCGTCAGTTTCTGCGGTTTGCGTTTGAAGGTCGAGCTTGGCAATACAAAGTCCTCCCCTTCGGGCTCTCTCTGTCTCTGGGGTCCTCACCAAGCTCGTGGAGGGTGCCTTAGCGCCCCTTCGGCTCGCGGGCATGCGCATACTCAATTATCTCAACGACTAGCTGATTTTAGCCCACTCTCGGAGCAATTGATTATGCACAGAGACAAGGTGCTCCAGCACCTCCGCCTGTTGTGGTTTCAGGTCAACCGAGAAACTCGCCCCAGTGCAGAGGATCTCTTTTCTCGGGCTGAAGCTGGACTCAGTCACCCTGGCAGCGCGCCTCTCCGGAAAGCGCGCTCAGCTGAACTGTCTGAGAGCTCGACAGCAAAATAGTGGTCCCACTGAAATTATTTCAGAGGCTCCTGGGGCATATAGCATCCGCAGCCACTTCACGCCGCTCGGATTACTCCATATGAGACCACTCCAGCACTGGCTTCACGATCGAGTTCCCAGACGCCCATGGCACGCACACCAAGTCACTGCTACTGCGCTGTGTCGCCGCGCCCTCAGCCCTTGGAACGACCCCTCATTCCTACAGGCCGGAATGCCTCTAGGACAGGTGTCCAGTCATGTTGTTGTCTCAACAGATACTTCCAGCACGGGCTGGGGGGCTGTGCATTGCGGGCATGCAGCTGCGGGCCTGTGGAAAGGAACCCAGTTGCATTGGCATATCGCCTGGAGCTGTTGGCAGTATTCCTCGCTCTCCACCGTTTTTTTTCTGGTGCTAGAGCAGCAACACGTGCTGGTCAGGACGGACAGCATGGCGGCGGTGGCGTATATCAACCGCATGGGGGGTTTTCGCTTTCGCTGTATGTCTCAGCTCGCCCGCTGTCTGCTCCTCTGGAATCATCCGCGGCTGAAACGCTGCGCGCCATTCACATTTCAGGCAAGCTCAACCGTGCAGCCTATGCACTCTCACGCATCACGCAGCCTTTACGTCCTGGAGAATGGAGACTCCACCCCGAGTCTGTTCAGCTGATATGGGCGCAATTCGGGGAAGCCCAGATCGTTTTGTTGCTTCCCCTGAGATTGCTCATTGCCAGTAGTTCTTTTCCCTGACCGAGGGCTCTCTCGGCATGGATGCACTGGCTCACAGTTGGCCCCGGGGCATGCACAAATACACGTTTCCCCCAGTGAGCCAGCTCATGCAGTTACTGTTCAAGGTCAGGAAGGATGAGGAACAGGTTGCTGGTTGCGCCCCTCTGGCCCAACCGGACCTGGATGTCAGAGCTCTCCCTCCTCGCGATGGCCCTCCCCTGGCAGATCCCTTTGAGAGAGCACCTACTCTCTCAGGGACAGGCACCATCTGGCACCCTCGCCCCGATCTTTGGAACCTCCACGGGTGGTCCTTAGACTCGAGGAAGACTTAGGTAACCTACAGTTTGCGGTGGTTAATACCACCACTCGGGCTAGAGCCCCCTCCTCGAGCACGCCTATGCCCTGAAGTGGAGTCTATTCATTGAATGGTGCGTCTCTCGCAGAGAAGACCCCCGAAATTTGCCAGATCGGCGTTGTGCTTTTTTACGCCAAGAGAAGCTGGAGAGCAGGCTGTCGCCCTCCGCGCTCAAGGTTACGTGGCTGCCATCTCCGCTCTCATGACGCGGTAGCTGGCAGCACCTTGGGAACGCATAACGTCATCATCCGGTTCCTCAGAGGCGCTAGGCGAATTAATCCATCCCGCCCCCCTCTCATGCTTCCTTAGGATCTTGCCCTTGTTCTCATGAGCCTGTGTCAGATCCCTTTGATCCTCGACTCAGTAAGATTCTGTCCCTGAAGACAGCTCTGCTGGTCGGGTTGATATCGATTAAGAGGGTCGGGGACCTGGAGGCATTTTTCGGTCAGTGACTCGTGCCTGTAATTCGGGCTAGCTTACTCTCAAGTTCCTGAGACCCCGCCCAGGATATGTGCCCAAGGTTTCTACCACTCCATTTTAATACTAGGTAGTGAGCCTGCAAGTGCTCCCCCCGCAGGAGGCAGACCCAGCCCTTTCCTTACTTTGTCAAGTTCGTGCTTTGCGGATTTATTTGGACCGCACTCAGAGCTTTAGATCATCTTAGAAGCTCTTCGTCTATTATGGCGGTTGGCAGCAGGGAAGT